ATTCATGGTACAACAGGCATTAGCATTGAAAACATTAGGCTCCGTGAAAGGAGCCCATATCAAAAAGCCACATGTGGGGGCTGGAGAGATGGCTCAGTGGTCTAAAGCACCTACAGCACTGGAGCCACGAAGCCTAAGGTAAGCACCAGAGCTCCCCCAAAGGTACCACAGCCGTCCTCAGCAACATGAGGCCCTGAGGTCCTCCAGCAACGAGGAATGCTGAGTTCCCATCAGGAAAGCCTGCGTGAGGCGCTTCTCCACGAGGCTGAGCAGTGCACCATCTTCCTCTCCAGAGCCAGGAAGTGATGCTCAGGATGAGGACCAGAGCTCCCCAAGTGAACCACAGCCATTCTCAGGGACAACGAGGTTCCGAGCTCCTCCTTCAACAAGAATAGCCAAGTTCATTGGGAAAGCCAGCATGACAAGGTTCTCCAGCAGAACAGCCCAGGGAAACCAACGGCTTCCGGCAGCTCCAATGAGCGGCATCCCTAACAGCGTTTCCGCAGCTTCTCCAGCTCCGCCTCCTCCGCTGCTGGCAACAATCCTCAGGTGGGCCTCCCACACCCAGCGCCAAGCTAGCTCAACTCAGCTGACCATCAGTTAGACATCTACTACACTGAGACTTCAGGGTGATTTTAAAACATTTTTTTCATCTTTTTTGAGACAGGGTCTTACTATGCAGTTCAGACTGGCCTGTAGTTCACTTTGTTGCCCCTGCTGGGCTTGAACTCAGTAATCTCCCTCCTCAGCCTCCTGCGTGCTGGGATTACAGGTGCATGCATGTGACACCACGCCCAGCCTGCAAGTTAACAGTCTAGTGCAAATGGGCCTGGAGTGCTTTTGTGGATAATGAAAATGTCTTAAAATTATTTATGGTGGTGCAAACACAAGTCTTTAAGATTCTGAAAAACACTGAATTGAGCAACTCAAGTTGATCAGTTATAAAAATGTTCAAAAGGTGAAAATATATACTAATATAAACTACAGAGCAAATTTTTAAATCATATTGTAAAATCTATAGAAAGGTAGAGATTGTATAGTGTCCTCAGGAAAAGTATCAAGTTTTACTTGATAAAGTAAATTTGTTGCTGGGTGTGCTAGCACGCACCTGTAATCTCAGTACTCCAGAGGCTAAAGCAGAATTGCAATGAGTAGAGCCAGCCTGGGCTACAGGGCAAGACACTATCTTAAACAACAACAAAACAAGTAAACAAAAAAATGAAGTTTGTTACACTGTTACAAAGAAACAAATCAAAGTCAGGCTTGGAGGCACATGCCTGCAATCCCAGCACTTGGGAGGCTGAGGCAGGAGGACCATTGCAAGATCAATACCAGCCTCAAGTACATAGTGAGACCCTGTCTCAAAAAGTGTCCCCCCCCAAAAAAAACCTGCTAGAGTATTTATAGGTACTGTTACTCTAGGCAACTACCCACTTCAGTCCAACAAGTAAGGCCGCCCGCCTGTAGTCTACTCTGCCTTAAAAATAATGCTGTATCATTTAGCTTCTGCTGGATAACAATCTATTCCCAAACCTACTGCTTAAAATCACAACTATTCTACTTAGTTAAAAAAAAAAAAAAGAAGTATTTTACGTGGTTCGTGAGTCACAGAACCCAGGTGGCTCTGGGCTGGCTTGGGTGTCTCTGAGGGGCTGGTGGCCAGCGGTCAGTGTCACATTTCCTAATGTCCTACTGGCCAATGCAGATGAGGCCTACCCTGATCAGGCACCACTTCTTGCTGGCATCCACCCTCAAGGTGGTGAGCGCAGTTTTGGGTACCACGAGGAATACTTCCCCGCCCTTCTTGCACTTGTGCAACGCAGTGTCCACACAGAATTGGGTCAGCTTGAAGGATCGCCTCTTCCCAACCTCACAGAAACAGGACAGGCCAATGCCCACAAGTGATAGAGGCAGCACTTATCGGGCACCCTGCACATACTTCTCACTGGGTGCCACAACATGGCACGGAAGTAGGATTACTGTTACCCTGGGAGCGACTCTCCCAGGTCCTCAAGCGGCACATACCAGTCATCTCAGCTATTCAGGAGACTGAGGCAGGACTGAGTTTGAGGTCAGCCTGTGCTACAAAGTGAGTTCAAGGTCCACCTGAACTGCATAGTGAGACCCTTTCTCAGGACAATAAAAGAAAAAAATATATAAGAAGGGGTAGGAGATGTAGCTTAATGGTAGAGTACTTATTTTTTTTCAAGTGTGAGGCCCTGGGGTTTAATCCCTAGAAAACAAAACACCCCCCTCCAAAAAAACCCCAAACGCCCCCAGACTCAATTTCCTCCAACTTTGAACAAAGACCTTATTTTTTTTCTTTTTCTTTTTCTTTTTTCAAAGTTTTATTGATAAACAGATAGCAGTGAGACAGTTTCAAATCAAATCAGAAGTACAGTTTCAACAAATAATACACTGCATATATTCTTCTTAGTGGTTAATTGCTGTACAAGATGCGGACTTGTGATCCTATTTACAAACATCA